TCCCTACAAAATGGTCTTTTAGGTGTTGATTTATAAACCGTTAATATCACACAATTATCAACAGTACTTCTCACAAAGTACTGTTACACTCTTACTGCACCTTACCTTACCGCTACACCTGGTCTCCTATTATTCCCTGAAAAACCGGAATTTCCAGTCCTCACCTGTTTTTTCAACCATAAATCAAGACAAAAACACCTAACTGAGATTTCTACCATGACATGCTCTTAGATCAACTGCAAAATTAAACTGGTATTCCGGGACAGGCATTAAGATGACAGTGTTTCCCACACATAGGCTTTACTTGGACGGGCCGGGCCGCACAGGTATATTAACGGCCACCCAAGTATATTTGGAGAAACATTTTTGCTTTTATTTTTATCCGCCCGAAATAATGAAACCATCCGCGATCGATTAACTAGTGGAAAATCTCCCCTCCGCCTACACGTTTCGTATCTGCTCGTTCTGTGTGCGCGAGAACTGTTTCAGACTGCTTCAAAGTGATTCTCAATCAATGAATAGCGCACATTTATGCCAAGCGATTGCTTATGAACTCTGCTTATGAGTTGATGAATTATGACAATGTTTACTTTATGACCTTTATATAATATGTTTTAGACTGTTGTAAGAATGCATATTTTATCTCTCATTTGAAGGATCAGCCCGCAATAATATAGACATTTCAAAATAAGAGTCCCAGTGTATTTCGGGTTTGTTTATAATTAAGTCACACGTTAAGTTTTTTCCTTTTTTGGGGGGTGGATTATTGGTATTGTGGTTACACAATAAATTGTATTTTATTTAATTTCCATTTAACTCATAGTAAACTACTGTAATTTCTGTCTGGGATGCTTCCCCACAGGAAACAAATCAAAGAACATTATTTGACATTATTCAATATATAGATTTTATTAGTATCAGAGAGAAACTATATGGCAAAGCAAGGAGAACTCTACCATTTAAATGCTGTAATTTGTAATTTACAATGCATGATATGAGTATGTAATTAAATGTAATAGTAGCCTATGTAATTAAAATTAATTTCAATAAATAAAAATATTGTTAAAAATCACACATTATTTGTAATTTGTCACATGTATACCATTTTTGTGCCATGGGTATAGAGGATTTTCCACCCGACTACCACTGCAACTAGGGATGCACCGGTATCGGGCCCGATACTGAGCTCCTGTACTCGTACTCGTTAAAATGCCCCGATACCAAACGCCGATACCACACAGCATGTGATAAGTGCCATATTCAGACAATGAAACACCGACAACAGAACAACAGACAGCAGAATGGAGTTATTAGAGATTAAGGATGTCTACGAAGTATATGTATGCAATGAATATAATGTTAAACATTCAGTATTAACGCCTGTATAGCTGATGTGCGCGAGTTGATAAGCAAAGCGCGCTGAGTGGATTAAGTGCGCGGCGGCGCAGATGGGCGAGCTTGTCGAGTGAATATACATAAGTGAATATACCTTTCTCACAGACATCACTGGAAAGTTTGTAGTTCGGTCGGATACGTCAAAAAGAGAGAGAGAGAGAGATAGCACAATTCTGTTGTGTGATCTTTGATGTTCACTCACTTAGCACACGCATCATTTGGATTAAAACTAAATCGTAAAAACAAGACCATTTATAGGGGCATTCACTATAAATGTCATTTATTTTTACCCTTAGGCATACACGACTTTCTGGGGCAAGTGAATCTAACAGCTTGTGTGAAATGCGCTAGGCTGTACTATTTCATTCTGCACCAGTACAAATACGTGCACGCGTTGCACGTTTCAGATGAAAAAACGCGACTTCTATTTCTGAAAATATCACAGTTAGGAGATTTATAACGAGTGGTTCCCTGCGTTTTTACAGCAAAGCGCGTGATTACAGTACTAAGCCGTTGCAATGGAGCAGCTCTAATGCTATTAAATTACAGATGATGTACCATAGAGCAAAAAACGAACAGTGAAAGTAAAACTTGTAAAATACATTTTAATGGGCATAATTAAGTGTGAAAATAACAGAAGGATATACAGTCAAACCAAAAATTATTCAGAGACCAGATATAATTTTTGATATTTTTTTACTAGTGGGTGCAGGACACTATAGTTCATTTATGTAAGTGAGGATAGCAAAATACAGTTAGTCCAAAATGCAGCTGCTAGAGTTAGTACGAAAATATGGTCAAGAAAATATGATCATGTCACCTCAATTTTTTCATCTCTACATTGGCTACCTATTAATATTCCTCTGGTCCTAGAGCTTTTTAGATGAATGCCTAAACTTTTTGGGTCAGGTAGAATCTGTGATTTGGGTATGTAGAAACATTAATTATCTGTGAAGCGGTTTTAAATATGTATTGTGAAACGTGCTATACAAATAAGTATGAATCTAATTTAATTTTAGGAGTGAAAATCTGATTAAACAAGCCCTTTTTTGTGTAGATATGTTTTCAGGTGGTAGCATGCCATTCATAGTTTATTTGATAAGTTATCTAATCAATCAAAATAACTAGGGATGCACGATATTGGATTTTTGACGATATCCGATATGCCGATAATTTTCAACTCATTTTGGCCGATAGCCGATGCCGATATATAATTATTTTTAATTTTGGTTAGTTTTTAACAGGAACTTATTTGTTAGAATTAAATAATCAATAATACAGTTCTTTTATAATGACAGTACATTGAATATTTGAAAATAACTATAAATAAACTATATTTTAATCACTGCAATTTTTTTCAGAAAGATGCAGTGGTAACCTTAACATTTTATTTTATGATAACATTTGTAAATGGTCTAAAGCAAAAAAGA